TGCATTGACTCTATAAATTGCCTTTGGTAGAATTGCCATTTTTACTATGTTGATCCTCCCAATCCAAGAGCAAGGGAGGTCCTTCCATTTTCTGGTATCCTCTTCAGTTTCTTTCTTCAATGCCTTAAAGTTCTTGTCAAATAGATCTTTCACTTCCTTGGTTAGAGTTACCCCAAGATATTTTATGCTGTTTGTGGCTATCGTGAAAGGTGATGCTTCTCTGATTTCCCTCTCTGCTTCTATATCCTTTGTGTATAGGAGGGCGACTGATTTTTTGGAGTTGATCTTGTAAAGGAGGAACATTCTGAATGGATTATTCTTAGAAAGAACATTGTTTCTACGAATGCCCTGCTTACAATCCCTTTTTTGATAACCTTGTTTGCCACATTATAACATTTGACATTTTAGTTTTTACTCAAACCTCTGGAAATCACATCTCCTATCCATGCATCATTATGGCCATGAGATTCAGTGTTAATTGTCTCAAATCTTCCTCCAAAGGTGCTGACCTCACCTTTAATGGCCTAATTATCCTTTTGCATAGAGAACTGGCATTTTCAAAATCCAGAGATCCAATTATTACTCGTCTCACTTCTGAATTTGGTATCATTCGATTTATTTCTGAAGCCAGTCTCTGAAAGAAGTCCATAAAGGCTTCCTTTGGCCCCCATATAACTTTAGTAAATGACTCAATTTTCTTCCCTATTTCTCCAATTATGTCCCAAGCATTCAAAGCTGCTAGGCAGCATAAATCCATGGTGTGGTCACCATTTACAGCCTGCCTTTCTTTAGTAGCATAGTCTCCTTCTCCAAGAATTTGATCTTCAGAGATATCTCTACCTCTAGCTTTACTTTGTTATTTAATAATCTTAGCTTCTTATCTGAAGCACATATCCATTGTAATTATGGACCTGGCTCTAAAACTCCTTTAACTAATTCTATCCAGTCTTTAGTCATATATTCTATTACAAACTGACCACCATTTTAACATTTGCTTTACAAAAGGAGATTTCATGCTATATGAGACTGTTGCTTCCTTGAATCTTCTTAACTCTAACATTGGCACAGGAGTTTAGTTAGCTGTAACAGAGCCTCTGCCATTTGGCAATTCCTGTAAGGTTACTAGATATATTATGGTTTTTTTTTTTTTTTTTGAAAACCTTGGGCTGTTTCTCTCTAATCTTAAAATGCTATGTTGGAATTGTCTCTCCATTAAATTCCTCTTTCTGTATTTGATTATCTCTGTGATCTGTTACTAGGTTTTTCTAAGGCCTCTTATTTTAGCACTTAGATTAACCAACTTTTTTTAGTTTTAAGACCAAAATGTTATCAAATGTTTACAATTGACATTATATAAATCCCATCTAAATTAGATCCTCTCATTTATTCATTCCTTTTTCAATGTATCTGGCATATTATCATACAGAAACCCAAATTTCTCCATTGTAATGGTTTTTCCCATTTTTTAATGTGGGGGGGGGGACTCTCTCTTTTAACTAATTCCTCCCCTTTAAGAATTCCCAATTCTCTTACCAAATCTACCAGCGATGTTGATGAAGTGAGGCTCATAGCTGTCACATAGAATAGAAAGTCTGAGTGGATTTCAAGACAACTACCTAGTTTGGCAGCACCCTGAACAGGGGCTTAAGGGACAGAGAGAGAGAGAGAGAGAGAGAGAGAGAGAGAGAGAGAGAGAGAGAGAGAGAGAGAGAGAGAGAGAGAGAGAGAGAGAGAGAGAGAGANGGAGAGAGAGAGAGAGAGAGAGAGAGAGAGAGAGAGAGAGAGAGAGAGAGAGAGAGAGAGAAAAGACACTGTCTGAAAAAACACAGGGGATTGTTGTTGGAGGGCACACTGGCCAGTCTAGGGCCAGTGAGTCCTGTGGTGTTTGGAGCCCGGGTGCATCTGGAGTTCCAGTGTTATCTGGAGACTGTTTTAGGGAGGCCACAACAAAACAATCCCAAACTTAACCAGATGAAGAAGGACGCTTAAAAGAAATACCACACTAGCTCAGAATTGAGAAATAAATGGCTATTTATTTTGGGATAGACTCACAAATCAGAATCCTCTGCTGGAACCGAGATCAGAAACTGAAATCCACAACCGGAAAAAGAGGCTGGAATCATCCTCTACATCAGCATATATAGTGTAAGAGGCCACACCCCAGTGGGCAGGTTACCACTGGCTGTAAGACTTCCTACAGCACCAGAGACTTGGGGAAAACAAAAAAAGAAAACCTTGCCAGGTTGGGCCAGAACCACATGTGCAACTCTGGCTTATGCTGGTGGCTTTTTTGTGAATTTGTATCCCAATTGTTGGGCTTCAAATGTAGTATGATTAATAGAAACCCAGAGACAAACACTGGGATGTAGTGCTCGAGTTGTGGAAACCCCAAGAAGACCACCAGAGACACAGACTCACTGAAATGCAAAAGCAAGGTTTAATTCTGCAAATCACTATAGGCATCTTGGCTTGCACAGCAACACAACGGGGGGCCAGAGGAGGTGTCCTACTGTTCTTAGACAGGGTTTATAAAGGCAAAAATAAAAGATCACAAATCTATTGTTATGGGCATAAGGGATACATACAGCTTATGATTGGCTCTCTGATTGGCTCCAGTCTAGGGAACTTCCCGCTCTCCTGATAGCCACCTTGGGGCCTAGCACAAAATAGAGTTGTTTTTGGCCCTTCAGGGGTTCAACCTGAAGATCAGAAAAGCAAAGCAGCTAAGACACTAGAGAGCTCTTACCTCTTTGAAATCTTCAGGGTGCCAGGGAGTGAGCGCCCATCTCATCCCATCTTACATTCTCTCTAGTTCTAAGATTAAAGGTGTGCACTACCACTGGCCAACCTCTTTGGCTAACTAGTGTGACTGCTAGAATTGAAGCTTTGTGCCACCACTGCCTCGCCTGTATGGCTGACTAGTGTGGCTGCTTTGCCCTCTGATCTTCAAGCAAGCTTTATTTATTTAAATGCAAATGAAAAAAACACTGTAGTTTCCCACTTAAACACCTGGTTTTCCTTGCCTCTTCCCCAAACCCTTTTTATCTGTTGAAGTATATCCTTTGTTAAAAACCACTCAAGTCTGTTTCTTCTGTAAAGTTTCTTACTTATGCCCTCACTTAGTGATATAATGTCAGGCCCACCTTGAACTCAAAGAGATACCCCTGGCCTCTGCCTCCCACTGCTGGGGTTAAAAGTATTTGCTACCTCACTATCTCACCCAGCAGCTATAGGGTCTTAAGGAAGGATTTCTTTTTTCCTCTAAATAGTTTATCCTCTAGTAAGTTATATATGCTCCATTTAAAGACCATACATCCAAAACTATGGTCTTGAAGAGTTGTGTTTTGTTTGTTTTTAAAGGGACACAAAGTTGGGTGGGGAAATAGGTTTTTGAAGTGTTGAGATGTAGTATGATCAAAGTATATTGTAAGAAATCTCAAAGAACTAATACAAAGATTAGGAAATATAGTTTTTAGTTAAAGAATGTATTCCAAATGTAGTTAGCTAAAGGATGATTAATAAACATCTTCAAATGTGTGGAAGGCTTTAAGTAAATGCTTATATAATTTCCCATCCAGATTCTAAGACAAGTAAAATAAAATATATGACAACTGTAGATTATTCAAAATTCTTATTTATAAATGATTTAAAGCAGCATAATTTTATTTTCAAATAAAAAATTAAAATGTGACCATAGCAAAATGCAGCCAGACAGTGAGTTATTTTTAATTTCATTTTACATTCCTACCACAGTTTTCCTTCCTGCCACTCCTCTCGCCCCACCAGCCCACTTCCCATTCACTCCCCCCAACAGGCAAGGGCTCTAGTGGTTTATCAACAAAGTCTGGCACATTAAATGAGCAAGGGAGGTCAAGATCATGATGGAGAAATTTACAGAGACAGCTGAACTAAGGTTGTAGAAAATCATGAACTCTACACCAACAACTGTGGAGGCTCCATGGGACCTAACTAGGCCCTCTGTATGTGGGAGACAGTGGTCAAACTTGGACTATCTGAGAAGCCCCTGAGAGTAGGACCAGGATCCTGGTGCATGAAATAGCTTGTAGGAGCCCATTCCCTAAAATGGGATGCTATGCCCAACCTTAATGCAGGGGAGAGGGGCTTGGTTCTGCCCCAACTTAATGTGCTAAAATTCTAATTCTTTAATAATTAAAATATACTCCATAAATATATGAAATTGTCAGTGAATAATTTTAAAGAAAACTTTGAAAAGAGAAAGATAACTCAGGCCTTCCATTCTTCACTCAATTTTCTAGTACCTTCTACTTTTATGTATTGTTTCTAGCCAGCCTATTTAAACTTGAAGTTGAAGTTCAGTGAAAATAGGGACTATGAACTTGAAGAAGAGTGGGGAGGTTATCTGGGGGAAGGGCAAAAAGGAGGAAAGGGGAGGGAGAGGTATATAATTAAATTATAATATCAAAAATACACTTTTTAAAAAAGAAATTTACAAGGTTCTCCCAAAGCCCTTTCTGTGTTAAAAGACCTGTAACTATCAATGATTCTGTTTATGACTAAGCCCTGTTGCCTTTTCCCCCACAACAATACATATATGAAAATCTGTTTTACTTCACTTTCTACACTTGTTGAAAAGTTAAAGCACAAATCTAAACCTCACTCAGCTCTTGAATGCCAATTTAGACTTTTTAACATCACTATTACTATATTAGACATTTTAATGCAGTTTGTCCTTCAACAACTGCAATTTGAAAAGCTAAACTTAAAAAGGCAGTATTGTTAGGGTCACATTCCTTTAAAATAGCTACTTCATTCTGATTTCATGTTCAGTTCTTTTTTTAATCCACTGTACTAACCACTATTATAAAAATACTGCTCAGAATGTCCAATTTGTATAACAATTGATAATCTACTGTAACTTTTTTTCCTATAATACATGTTCTCATATAAAGCAATATGATTGGCCTTTGTTGAATATTTGTTTCAATTCATTATTCAATTCTTTTTCTCTTTCTTTTCAGACCAGTGTGTGGAATAAGAGGGAAAACTCTGATAATTAACCTACCTGGTAGCAAGAAAGGATCTCAGGTAAGCATTCTCTATGTTATATGGTTTAATAAATGAATTGTTAATCAACCAACTCTGAGAGTAGACAACCAACAAGCTGTACACACCAAAATAGCTGCTCACTGCTAACACTAATTAAGAGATTCCCAAAAAGCACCCTCAAATTATGTATTTCATTAGGAAGTACCAGAAAACTCACTGAACACTTCATATACTTACAGTTATTGTTTATAGAAGGAAAGGATACAGTTTGAGCCAAGAGAAGTGCATTGGAGTTTAGTAAACATACCTGACGCAGAGCTTCCATTGTCCTCTTCCTGTGTATTCATGAATTTGTTACTTTCCTGGGACTGCAACAATCTACATGGAATATTGCCAATCAGAACCTCATCTTAACTGTTGTGTTTGTTGTTTTCATGTTTGTTTGTTCATTCTAGCTCGTCATATAGTGTCCACGTGGCTGAATTTTAGTCCTTATCTCTTTAGTTTTCAACATCTTTCAGAGGCAAAGCAATATCAAAGTAGATCCAAACCTGCATTGTAATTTATATTGTTAGGAGATCTCATTGCCCAAGTTGTCTGGCAAAAAAAGAATACTCTGTCATTACAGTCTTATATCCTAGAAGTCCCCTTTCTAGTAGCTAAAGGCAAGGCTAGACTCTTTCTGTATGATAATTAATTCTGCACTATGGAATGGTATGCTCTGACTTTTGGCTAAGGCTTTTTACCAATTAATATTGCTCATAATTGTATTCACTTTATCAGTTATATTATCAGTGAGAATATGCCTAATTTGCAAGTAGCAACATGAAATATGGTTAGATCTAGAGAATTGAGTAATCTACCTTTAAACACATTATGTGTATTTTCATATTTTAATTGTAATTTACTTATTTTCCTCCTTGATCTCTTCTTCTTTGTACAATGTGATACATTCATACAGCACTGTATAACAGAAATGAGATGAAACAACTTCCAGTTGTTTGCTGGCCAATCATTTTTCTATTGGTATTACACTTTAAGGTAGATTTTAATTCACTTTCCAAATATATTTGACCAAGAATATCAATACTCCTGTAGTAATAACAATCCTAATATTGCAGCATATTTGTTGGAGGAGGGGCCACTTGTTCTTTCCTGGCACCTAGCTAACGTACACGCAAAATAATCACACAGAAACTGTACTAATAAAACACTGCTTGGCCCATTAACTCTAGCTTCTTATTGGCTAACTTTTACATGTTAATTTAAGCCATTTCTAGTAATCTGTGTGTTGCCATGTAGCAGTGGCTTACCGGCAGAGTTTTGGCATGTCTGACTCTGGCCACAGCTCCATGGCATCTCCCTCTCTGCCTTCTCTCAGCATTCCGTCCAATTTTTCCCGCCTAGCTCTGTTTCCCTATAACTCTTCTATAGGCCCAGTTCCTTTATTCATTAGCCAATAAAAGCAACACATAGACAGAAGGATATCCCACACCACATATCTAATGTAGGAATAGTACAACTAAAAAGTAAAGTTCAAGGACAGTGAATTAAAACGAAGTCAGACATTCATTATGCTACTTGTTTTGAGTGTGCTACATCTTTGAAGACATAAAGTTTAATCACTATGCTGATTCACATTACCAATAGTAGTTTTGGGCTAACCTTTTATTTTATTTTGAAGCAGGGCATTGTCATCTACAAATTCATGTTCAAGACCACACAATCACTTAAAAAAAAGTTTTCAGGTCATTTTGGCTTTGTATTTAGCTACATATATAGCTATCATATAGCTGTCCTCAACCACATAGAACTTGCAGGCCATAAGTTAGTTGCCTCATAGCACCTCTCACTCAGTCCATTCCTATTCATATGATAAAGATAAAGAGCTAGTGGACTATCTTTCCAATTAGGCAGTATAGTATTATTCTATCAAATCTAACTTATCCAGATGTGGTAAGGGCAAAAGCAACATCAGGAATTCTGACAAAAAAATTAAACATATATTTAACATCTTCTTGCTTAGAAATCATCCCCTATTCTGACACCCACAGTTGTATTATTACTGTGTACACTGTGTCAGATTGGGGGGGGGGAGTTTAGGTGTCATGGGGGAAAGGGTACATTTGTAAGGAAGAATGTTTACATGTGGGTGTCTTTGTCCAAGTGCCCCTTTCCTAAAAAAGTGAAGAAACCCAACTTGCAGGAACCTTCCTCGCTCACCTACCCTCCTATATTGAATGTGATGAGACACTCATCACCACCCCACAACCAGTGAGACAACAAAAATTTGAAGTGCCCATTTCATTTTCCAAAGATGAAAATGCTAAAACTTATTTGTATCCTCAGGAGTTACCAGTATCAATTTTATTTTGATAGTTATATGTAGAACTTTCTCTCCTCAGAATATTTCCCATGTCTTCCTTTGGTTTCTGACTTATTTTTGGCAGATAGAACAGTATTGTTGACATTTTATGTCTCAGAGGGTGCAAGACGAATGAATCTTAACTTGGCACTTCTTGCTTTGCTGTAGCTATGTAGTGTCCACTTACCTCTTGGACCCATGTAACCAATTTGAGCATCCACTTGGATGTGATTCTAGGCAATTTCTAATCCTAGGAGGAAGTTCTTTGGATGGACAGTGACATATTTTACTTTAATACACACCCTTAGATTCCCAGAATGACTTCAAAACACCCCATACATCTGTGTCTTCAATAGATCAGTTTTTCATTGCTTTTCCCTGAACATATAGCCATACGACATTGAGCACTGCTCCTGAGCTAGAAAACTAAATATGTAAGTATAGCTGAGAGATAGTATAGAAGTTATGCTAACAAATCACAAGCCCTAGGAACATCATGTATTTCAAACATATGAATTATTTGTTCATCTTCTTCAGCCACCAGCAAAGTTGAAGCATTCCAAAAGATGAGCTTCACTAGTGACTTTAACTTGATGTGATTTCTAAACCTACATAGTAATTCACTAGGATTCATAGAACTCACTTAAGGGTCTTAAAGTTATTGTTTACACAGGAAGGTGATGTGGATTAAAATTAAGAAGGGAAAAGTCATAGGGCAAAAAATAGAGGTACCTAGCCAATAAAGAGCTTTCCTTGTTTATTCTCCCTTGGGACCGTGCATCTGTTACCATCCTGTCCTAGACACATGACAGTATATATGCAGAACATTGCCGATGAGGAGTCCCAACATGAGCCTTTGGTATGCATAGTTTTCAGGTTAACTAGTAATCAAAGATCCCAGGAAATAAAGACATTTTTTATCAAGCCTGACATTCTAATGTCTGGATATAGCCTCCTAGAAGCTGAAGGAAAATATCAAACCTCTGTTTTGTCAAGATTACGTTCTTTAATATACTGTTTAAACAGTAAGCAATTGAGACCTATAAAGACAGTGAAAAATTAGGCATTCTTCAAGTATGCCTTTAATGTTCCATTCTTGTTTTAAGATATTTCTTTACCTTTCAGACTTTATTAAGGTGTTGCTTTAATGTGAAAGAGAAAGACTTCCATCTATTCCTAAGACACAATTAGCTCTGTATTCTAATTATAAGTCCTTGCCTGGTGTCTTTTGGGGATGCATTATAGATATTAATGGCATGTGAAGAAAATATTAAATTGAATTCTGTTCACAACTTTTACAATTTTATTTTTATTTTTTGCTTATTCCATAGTGCTTTTGTCATAACTACACTGGTATATATTATGATAGTAGAATTTCCAATCTGAACAATAACAACAAAAAAATTTGGTCCTTAATGTGACGTGTTAGACCCAAGTCTTGCACTGGCAAGCAGTTTGAAAATTCTCTTGATTTTCATATCTTTTATATATAGAGCATATATAAATATATAGTTGTATCAAAATTGTACTTTAAAAGCATAGTATGCATTCATGTAAGTATTCATCTAACGGCCATAACCTCTAACATATGGAAAGTGTTATATGATGTGATTGCTTCATGTGTCAAATATGACTCATTCTTGATATGGATAGAAACACAAGTCCAAAATTATAATCAATTTGATTGCTACCATTTTATTTGTCTATTAAAAAGCATGACTTTTATTTCTTGTTTTGTCTTTGTGGGCAGGAATGCTTTCAGTTCATACTGCCAGCTCTACCTCATGCCATTGACCTTTTACGTGATGCCATTGTAAAAGTAAAGGAGGTGCATGATGAACTTGAAGACTTACCTTCCCCACCACCTCCTCTTTCTCCACCTCCTACAACTAGCCCCCATAAACAGACAGAAGACAAAGGGGTTCAGTGTGAAGAAGAGGAAGAAGAAAAGAAAGACAGTGGTGTAGCTTCAACAGAAGATAGTTCCTCGTCACATATAACTGCAGCAGCCATTGCTGCAAAGGTAGGTCTGCTGAGAGAGACGGAGTTCTGAATTACCCATGGGGAAACAACTGATTTCATCCTCTTTCCATTTCATCCTTCCATAAGTTTAATGTTTTTGAGAGCATCCTAAAAATAGAGCTGGAATATCCATTAAATTTTGTCAATGTGTTCTCTGTCCTGGTACAGATTCCGTGTAAGCATTGAAGTTAGTTTGTGTTCTAAGGCACTAATGATATGCCAATTACCTAATGAAGTTATAGCTATAGTGATAAACAATGTGATTTTTAAGGAACTCTTTAAAGTTGCCATTTTATTATATACAATGATTATGTATTTCAGACATCAAAATTCCACATATTTTTAAAGAAACAGAAAACAAAGTTAAAAGACCTCAGATGACTCTTGAAATTAGTTGGAAAAGAGTATTTTAAAAATTTTGCCTGGTATGGAGATATAGGAAACCTCCACTATTCCAGGGTCAAGATGATCACATTACCACAAAATAAATTTTAAAGACAAGTCTTTGAAGAGGCTTTTGAATTTTCCCCAACTACATATTTATTCAGTTATTGTCAAACACAATTTATCTTAGTGGTATAGCGAAGAAATTAATATATTCTCCTTTAACCTAATAAAGTAATTGAAATATTAGGATAATACCAAAGTCTGCAGATTTTCTTCATAAGGGTCTAGAAATCAATGAAATACTATGAGCTGAGTAAATTTGAATGAATTTAATGCTACATGTTCAGCATAATTAACATAATTTACATTATTATTCATGCCTAGCTTTTTCCAGCTGCTCTGTTTTAATTTCTTTAGAAAGTAGCGTATCACTTTTAGTAATGATAATCATTCATTGGTTAATATTATACAGATTAAACATTTAATTACTCTATGAAATAATTTGAAGATCACATAGATATTTTGACTCTGACCATAGGAAAATAAATCTGTTTTAATTTTTAAAAAGTATTTGTTCTTGTTTTAAAGAAACAATGTAAGAGAATCATTACTTTGTTACTGTTTTGCTAGCATTTAGGGCATTACAGGTTTTCTATAGTACTGAACAATAATCAGGAGTTATACTGCTGTGGAAACTTTGATTTTCAGTCAATGTCTGAAAATATTTAATAAAATCATCTTTTTCAGCCTTACATATTTTCTTGGTACTACTTTATAGATCTACTAGTAAATGCTGCCAATAGCAATTTTCTAGTCTATAAGGACTTTAAATATGTCTTAGTTCTGAATTGTTTATTAAAAATAAACAGATTAAAATCACATAGAAATCCTTCTCATGTCCATTAGATAATTAGTATGTAGTTCCTTCATTGAACACTTCCAGATTCTGTCTGTAGACCTTTCAATAATCCATTAAATTTTAACCATACTATTAAGACTAAAGTTGGATTTTCTTTAGTTGAACCAATTATTAGAATAGGTTCATTTTAAAATTATTGAATGTTCTTTCTTTCTACTTTTAATTAAAAGGATAAGCCCTTTTAATTGTTGTTAATTAATTGATGTTCTTTTACAACATCAATTTTGTTTATAAAAGAAAACACAACATACAAAATCAAAGCTGATTTTGTCACTTTGAATTTTAAAAAATTTGGCATTTCATTGTTCATTTGTGTTCACTTTTTTTTCTTTTGGTCATTTTGCTTATGGAATTTCATGCTTTTTCTCTCACTGTATTCATAATTGTTATATGTTATACATTAGAAGCATCCATTGTACACCAACCCTGCTGTTTTCATGGCACATCATGGACAGCCCATCCCTGGTATCATCAGTTATTCCTATGATGCAACAGGCAGTACAGATAAACGGGTAAGACAATGAGTTTTGAATAATAATTTTGCAAATATTTATCATACTTCCTTTATTTGGAGGTGGGCTATAACATGGTAAATGAGTTATTTTATTGTGAAAAATCTTCATGGTTACTAAGCATACCACATTAAGGAATTTAATATATTCTTTGTGCCTAAATTTCTCTGCACTCATTAAAACTCTATCATGTTTAACAGTGAACTTTCATCACATGACTTTCAAAAATTTCTTTGCTCAAGAAGTCTGGGGTTTTTTTGTTGTTTGTTTTGCTGTTTTACTGAATACTTTTAACTAAGTATTAGTTAATTAGAAAGCGTCATAGGAGGGTTGCATTGTGTCTTATCACCTAGAAAGCTTAATCAAACTAATATTTAATTTGTGATAGCTTTTTATTTTCATGAACTTGCATCTCATTTTGTTTTTCTTCATTGTGTTCTCATTACAACCACGGAGAGCTCAATCTTCAACTTCCATGATAATTAATCTTTAGAAGCAGGCACCTAAAGATACATAACTACTTTTTTTACTCAAAAACAGCAAAGAAAATTGGACTTAAAATTAATATTCTTAAATACAAATTATTTAATAGCAATAATTGAGACCCCGGGTAGAAAATTTTTAAAAATCTATTTCAATTCATTCTGGGCATCTGAAATAAAGGGGAGCAAAAACAGAAGATGAAAACTAATTCATCAAGTGAAATTTGACTTTATGTGCTCAGGAATTGCATATATATATATAATTGTCTTTTGGAAGATAACACTATCAAATTATAATTTAAGATTTTCATTTCATGATGCATATTTGGTTGAAAATAAAATTGGGTTAGTCAAAAGACACATAGCAAATTTAAATTGTAATTAGTATAAATATTCGTGAATATTTTTAGCAATGCCAAATTTGAAGGGTTTCTTTTTGTATTCATATCTTATAGTGTTATAATAACCATTATAGAAAACATTCTGAGCTTTTAAAATGAAGTCATTGCAAAATCCTTCATTCATAAAACAAGATTATAGGCTACCATAGTCTAATAATATCAGATTAGATCCTCAAAAATGATTTGAGGACTGTAGAAATGGATAAGCAGTTAAGGGCATGTTCCAGAGGACATGAGTTTACTTCCCAACGCCGATGTTAGGTAGCTCACATCAGCTCTTATTCCAGCTCCAGGTGGATCCAAGGCTTCTGGCCCTTGTGGGCACTTGAACTTATGTGCAAATATCTACAAACAGATACAAACATACATGAAGTGAAAAATGATGAAAACTTAATAAAATGCAATCTCTTAATTATTTGAATAACATTATCTTTAGTTCTTGTGAGGATTTACTGCCATCATTTCAGGTGCATATGAAAGAAGGTAATTATCACATACAATAGCCATAAATTATAGTGACCTAATTTTCTAGAGGAGCTAATGTGAAAATAGCTCCAAAATGGTATAAGTGAATGTCTTCATTGTAGGATGCAGGAACCTTATTTGTTTAAGGATTTAATATTCCTTTGTAAGTAGTAGAAGCATTGATCATTTTGTCACTTTAACAGATAATTTATTTTTCAGTTAAACTTTTTATTCCTTTTGGTAAATGATGAGGCCTTTATCAAAGCATCTAATGCTTTCATTCTTTATACTGGTCTCTGTATAAAGAGTGAAAAAAGAAGAAAGAGGTAACAGTCAATAAAGTACCTTTAATATTCTTGGTGCTTCTTAATGCAAATGCAAATAGATTGTTACAGGCCATATAGAATTTGAAACTATGCAGAGTTGCAATTATTATTACTACTTTACTTTCCCAAGTAATTTTGTTCTACTTAACTTCCAAAAGAGAAACTTGATCAATGAATGCACTGACATTTCAGCAGTTACCAGTTACCTGATTGCTACTTATTGCCAAAAATTTTGACTAACTGCTGAGCAGGCATTTCCTACATCCTCTTCCTAATACTATACCACATACATCTGCATCACATAGTTTGAGTAAGTTGGCTAATATAACCACCATTTTAATTTCATTTAACCACAGTTATTACTTCTGGTAACATAATTCAAGCTTTAGTTCACAGCTCTGACTTTATTTGAAGTACTGAGCCACAAATTCTGTTTAAATATAAATTGGAAGGAAGAAATATGCATCCTAAGGAGTGCCATCTTGGGACTATGAAAACAAGTCCTGCCATAATGAGATAAATTATAAAAAAGAAATTAAGAAATAAAGGTTTCAGGTTCTCTACATATTGTTTTTACCACTCCCTCAACTCATTCTTTTAAACTATAGCTACCTCTCAGTTTTATTAGGTAAGTTCTTTTTGTCTTAAAACTAACGGAAATAAAGGTGCTATCTCTAACCAAAAAAAAAATTTTTTTTCATCAGTATCCAGAAATGCATGGGCCTCATTAAGATAAGATTTAAAAATAATAAAAATAAAACAAAGATAACATTAAAAATTATTCCTTTTATTTTATAAAGCATATTATGTAAGGTTCCCTGAAGTTTCATACTTGGGTGAGAAACCTGATTCAAGAAAATAAAGTGTAATTTATATTAAATAGGGGAAGAACAAAGAGAAAATAATAAATCTACTCTTTGATGTTTAACCCAGAGATGAAATGTTGTGCTGTGTATTGAAAATAACTGCTGGGTTTCATAGTCAAAGTCATAAGGACAAGTAAACCTTGATCTTAAGACAAAAAAGGAAAGTTTCTTCAGAGATACATAAGAGGTTTCATCTCACTAATGAAAATTAAATGTTTTGGAGAACTTTAGAACAGTGACGAGGCCTCTATGCTCTCCTCATGAATCTTACAATACATGTACACAAAACTAAATACATGTGAAGGCTATCAAGGAAACTGGTGTTGTGGGGGAATGACTTCCATATAATTTAGATAGAGTAGTATGGATTAAAGAGGAAGTGGTTCTGTTGGAACCTAAGCTAGAAAGTGAAAAGGAGTTAGTCTAAAAGTGTGGGGTTTTATATTTCATTTTGTTTTGTTTTTAGTGTACCTGTAGAAACTCTTAGGTTTAGAGCCATTTTCAAGAATATAGATGATGTGCTTTGATAATACTCACCCCACCTACCTCTCTTATCCCACCCTTTGCTACCCTTTATTTCTTTTCCCACCCCTTTGAGTCTACCTTTTACATTTATGTCTTAATTTCTACAAATGAGAAAAACCATGATGTTTGTTTTCTTTTCTTCCAGTCTTATTCAATTTGCTTAATACACTAATCTGCAGTTCCATCCATTTTCTTACAGATCACTTAATTGACTCTGTGTCTTAACAAAATTTCAATATATATGTTATATATGTCTGTATGTATAAACCTCATTTGTCTATACATCTATTGATGGGCACCCAGAAAGTGGCTCCTGTGGACACGGCCATGCCAAAAATAGAAACAAGACTGTTTTCAATACAGATTATTTCTGATTCTTTTGGGTAACGAGCCAAAGTTATATAGCTTGATCATAAGATAGTTCTATTTTTCATTTTTAAGAAATTTTTGTGGTTATTTGAACTAATATATATTTCCAAGAGCATTATATAAGGGTTTCTTTCATTCTTAATATCACGTTCTTATGTGGTTTCTGTTAATTTTCTCTCTGATATTCTAACTGTAGTGTGGTAAAATCTCATAGTTTTGTCTCTGATGAATAAAGGTATTGAACATATTTCCAAAATTTGTTGGTCATCTGTACTCTTTATTTGAAAAGTGTTCATTTTATATTTACTTTTTATTTGTTGCTTTAATGTTTTATTCTTTTGTTCTGTATACTGTATATTAATTAATCCATTACCAGGTGAGTAGCTGGCAAAATTCAGTTTCTGTAGTTTTCTTTTCGTTCTTATAATTGTCTTCAGTGCTATGAAACATCTTTTTATTTGATGCAATCCCACTTGCTAAATATTGTTCTTATTTCCTGAATTTTCCTATTCAGAAAGCCATTCTCTATGGTTTTTATTGTGTGTGTGTGTGTGTGTGTGTGTGTGTGTGTGTGTGTGTATACTATTCTGCCTGCACATACACCTGCAGGCCAGAAGAAGGCACCAGGTCTCATTACAGATGGTTGTGAGCCACCATGTGGATGCTGGGAATTGAACTCAGGACCTCTGGAAGAAGATCCTATGCGCTTAACTACTGAGCCATCTCTCCAGCCCCCCATTCTCTATGTTTATATCTTGAAACTTTTTTCTAGTAATTCCACAGTTTCAGTTATTACCATAAGATCTCCATACATCTTGTTTTGGTTTTTGTACAAGGTGAGACAGAAATCTAGTTTCACCTCATTTCTGGTCATCCTGCTTTACAACCACTACTTGTTAAAGAGAATGCTTTTCTCCAGTGTGTTTTTGCCATCATTGTGGAGAATCAGGTGACTTTTGCTCTTCCTTTGGTCTGTGTTCTGTTTTTGAGAGAGTGCCATATTGTTTCATGACTATGGCTTTATAATCATGAGTCAAATATTTTGATGCTTTTATAAAAACATTGCAAATTTTGTTCAGGGTTGCTTTAAGTATTCTGAGTATTTTGTGTTTCTATCTAAACTTCTGAATTTTTTTTTCAATTTACAGGAAGAACGTTATAAAAATTTTGATGGAGATTTTACTTACGTTTGCTTTTAGTAATATAACCACTTTAAAATTAATTCCACTGGTCCATATACATGGGAGATCTTAAAATTAATTCCATCAGTACATATACATGGTGGATTGCAGAAGTCTTTCATATCTTGAGTTAGACTGATTTGTTCACTTGATCTCTTCCTTTTATCTGTGAAGAACGTGGTTCTTTCTTTACGTCCCTGTTGCTGAGCAGACAACTACTTGATTCCTATGTTGGTCCTACTGCTCTCCGCTTTTCTGCTTTACCAAATGCAGGAGAGGAATAAGTACTGTTTCACAGTTAAGCTTTCGTTGTTTTCAGATGATATGATAGTGTACATAAGCGACCCCAAAAACTCTACCAAAGAACTGCTACAGCTGATAAACACCATTAGTAGGGTAGCTGGATACAAGATCAACTCCAAAAAAATCAGTTGCCTTCCTATACACTAAGGATAAGGAAACAGAGAGGGAAATCAGAGAAGCATCACCTTTCACCATAGCCACAAAGAGCATAAAATATCTTGGGGTAACCCTGACCAAGGAAGTGAAAGATCTATTTGACAAGAACTTTAAGTCTTTGAAGAAAGAAATAGAAGAGGACACCAGAAAATGAAAGGATCTCCCTTGCTCTTGGATTGGGAAGATCAACATAGTAAAAATGGCAATTCTACCAAAAGAAATCTATAGATTCAATGCATTCCCATCAAAATCCCATCAAAATTCTTCACAGATCTGGAGAAGACAATAATCAACTTTATATGGAAAAACAAAAAACC